TCTCCGATCATCTCCAGAATCGGAAGAAGAAACTCAAAAGAAAAAAAAGAGAACATACCAAACGATCCCGTAAGCGCCTCGGCCGATAGGTGTGATCGGAGGGAGATATTTGGATGTGATCTCGAATAAACTACCGAAGATATCGTAACTTATAAACTGTCCTCCGTGAGTTTGCACCGCCGGAAAATCCGTAAACTGGCCACCGGCGTTCATATCTCTCTCTCTCTCAGTCGGCGAATGAATCAAGTGAAACTTTGACTAGTTGTTGTTGCTTTGAGGTTTTAGTGAATCTGAAGGTATTGAATCGAAGTATATATTATATATGCAGTAGTCAGCTGAGAGACTGAGATGAGTTTTCGCAGTAATTGCGAGGAAGATGAAGAAGGGAGAAGAGGGAAACTCAGAGAGGGAGATGAGGATGATCGTGTGGATAAGATTAGAGCCGCCTTAAATCGACGGTTCATGTTTCATTTCTGACTTGGTCAACGGTCTTCTTCTCAACGTCCTTTACAGTTCTATACTTCTATCTCTCGGCCTAAGTTTTGTTTTTCTTGCTAATATTTTTCATTTGATGTAAAAGTTTTTTATTTTATTTTCCGATAATCAAACATAAATAACGTGGGGTTTTCTTAATATAAATGTAACGTGGGCGTTTACATAATTCGATAAATGTGAATAGTTTTTTTGTCTTATTTGGGATCAAAATAGTTTGTATTCAACTTAATAAATAGATGAAAATCTGCTGACAAAAAGAAAACAAAAAAAAAGTGAAGTACTCGTTTTAAATTCGTTGAGAAATAAACATTTCAGTATTGTTTACGTTAAATTTTTAGATTAATTTTTTGGTGGAGATTATCGAAAATTGATATAAATATCAAGCGTGGTTTAGTAATAATAATTATTATATACCCTCGTTACGTGTTTTAATTTTTTTTTTTCAACAAAATCTATAATTAAAAGATGTTACTACAATTGGCCGTGGCAATAGGCCTAGATCGGGTGTGGCGAGATTTTGTCAAGA